ATATTCCACGTATAAGTGAGATCATTTGGTACTTGTCCTTCTCTGACTGGCTTATTTTACTTAGCATAGTACTCTCTAGTTCCCTCCATACTGTGCCACAGGCTAAAAGGACCTTCCTCTTCACAGCTGCATAGTATTCCATGGTGTAAATGTGCCACAGCTTTTTATCCATTCATCTACTGATGGGTACTTGGGCTGTTTCCAAATCTTAGCTATTGTNAATGTCCCACAGCTTTTTTATCCATTCATCTACTGATGGGTACTTGGGCTGTTTCCAAATCTTAGCTATTGTGAATTGTGCTGCTATGAGCATAGGGGTGCATAAGTTCTTTGCTATTGGTGTTTGAAGTTCCTTGGGATATATTCCTAGAAGTGGGATCACTAGGTCAAATGGTAGGTCAATTTTTAATCTTTTGAGGAAACTCCATACTGCTTTCCATAGTGGCTGCACCAGTCTGCATTCCCACCAGCAGTGTACTAGGGTGTCCTTGTCTCCACACCTTCACCAGCACTTGTAGTTTGTTGACTTGTTGATGGAGCCATTCTGACAGGTGTGAAGTGATACCTCATTGTGGTTTTAATTTGCATCTCTCTGATGATTAGCGATGTTGAGCATTTTTTCATATGTCTCTTAGCTATCTGTATGTCCTCTTTGGAGAAGTGTCTATTTAGGTCCTTTGCCCATTTTTTAATTGGATTGTTTGTCTTCCTTTTGTTAAGTGGTATGAGTTCCTTACATATTTTGTATATTAACCCTTTTTCTGATATGTCATTTGCAAATATGTTCTCCCATACAGTGAGCTCCCTTTTCGTTTTGTTGATGGTTTCCTTTGTTGTGCAGAAGCTTTTTATTTTGATGCAGTCCCATTTGTTTATTTTCTCCTTTGTTTCTCTTGCCCTAGGAGATGTATCAGCAAACATATTGCTATGACACATGTCTGAGATTTTACTGCCTATGTTTTCCTCTAGGATTTTTATGGTTTCATGCCTTACATTTAAGTCTTTTATTGATTTTGAATTTACTTTTGNATTTGTTTATTTTCTCCTTAGTTTCTCTTGCCCTAGGAGATGTATCAGCAAACATATTGCTATGAGAGATGTCTGAGATTTTACTGCCTATGTTTTCCTCTAGGATTTTTATGGTTTCATGCCTTACATTTAAGTCTTTTATTGATTTTGAATTTACTTTTGTGTATGGTGTAAGTTGGTGGTCCAGTTTCATTTTTTTGCATGTATCTGTCCAATTTTTCCAACACCATTTATTGAAAAGACTGTCTTTACTCCATTGTATGTTCTTGCCTCCTTTGTCAAATATTAATTGACCATAATGGCATGGGTCAATTTCTGGGTTCTCTGTTTTGTTCCACTGATCAATATGTCTGTTCTTGTGCCAGTAGCAAGCTGTTTTGATTTCAGTGGCTTCATAGTGTAACTTGATATCTGTATTGTGATCCCCCCAACTTTGTTCTTCTTTCTCAACATTGCCGTGGCTATTTGGGGTGTTTTTGGTTCCATATAAATTTTTGAAGTGTTTTTCCTATTTCTGTGAAATATGCTGTTGGTATTTTAATAGGGATTGCATTGAATTTATAGATTGCTTTGGGTAATATGGACATTTTAATGATATTAATTCTTCTAATCCATGAACATGGTATATTTTCCCATTTGTTTATATCTTCCTCTATTTCTTTTTTCAGTGTCTTGTAGTTTTCTGAGTAAAGGTCTCTTACATCTTTGGTTAAGTTTATTCCTAGGTATTTTATTTTTTTAGTTGCAGTGGTAAATGGGATTGTTTTTTTAGTTTTTGTTTCTGAGAGTTCATTATTGGTGTATAAAAATGCCATCGATTTCTGGGTGTTAATATTATATCCTGCTACCTTGCTGAATTCATTTATTAAATCTAGTAGTTTTCTGGTGGAGTCTTTAGGATTCTCTGTGTACAATATCATGTCATCTGCAAATAATGACAGGCCAATAAATATAGACCGATAACTGCTTATGAGGTTGAAACAGTAATCAAAGGGCTCCCAGCACACAAAAGCCCTGGCCAGGATGGCTTTACAGGGGACTTTTACCAAACATCCAAAGAAGAATTAACACCTATCCTCCTCAAACTATTTCAAAAAATCCAAGAGGAAGGAACACTTACAAACTCTTTTTACAAGGCCAGCATTAGCCTAATTCCAAAACCAGATAAAGATACTACAAAGAAAGAGAATTACAGGACAATATCCCTGAGGAACATAGATGCTAAAATCCTCGACAAAATATTGGCAAATTGGATCCAACAATATATTAAAAAGAACATACACCATGACCAAGTGGATTTATTCCAGGGATGCAAGGCTGGTACAATATTCACAAATCAATAAATGTGTTACATCATATAAACAAATTGAAAGATAAAAGTCACATGATCATATCAACAGATGCAAAAAAAACCGATAAATTCCAACGCCCATTTTTGATAAAAACTCTCAGCAAAGTGAGAATAGAGGGATCCTACCTCAACATAATAAAGGCCATATATGACAAACCTACAGCCAACATCATACTCAATGGGAAAAAATTAAAACCATTTCCCCTAAGAACAGGAACAAGACCAGGATATCCACTTTCACTGCTGTTATTCAACATAGTACTGGAAATCCTAGACACAACTATTAGAGCAGACGAAAACATAGAAGGCATCCAAATACGAAAGGGGTAAACAAAACTGTCATTATACCTGTTTTTGAATGTTTTTATCCAAACATATGTTCATTTAAGTGCTGAGGAGTTGCTTCCTCAAAAATTTAACTTAAACTTAATAGGATAATATGTATTTTGGTAACATTTTATTCTATCTATATTTTTTTGATTTAGCAACTTTTCCTCAAATTTTCCCTGCCATAAAGTATGAGCAGTTCCTTTGAGTATATCATCCTTGCATATAATATAAATATATTAAAATATATAAACTTCATTTTATATATTCTTTGAACCTATATTATTTTATTAAAAATTCACAATAAACAATTATTTTGCAATATATAATTTTGACTATTACTCTATTAATGAGTATTTGTTCAACCAAAATTTAAAATTTCAAAAACAGAAGTAGCCAAATTATTCATCCAGCAGTTGATTTTTAGAAAACTGCTTCAAACAATAAGTTATTGTTGCAGGATAAATTGTCTTCCAGTAATGTGTATAATAAAATATGAAATTAGAAACAAATAAAATTATAATTAATTACTTTTCAAGGATATTCGCCATTTTGCTTTTTCAAATAGATGTTTAAAAATTTGGTTTTTAAAAAAAAAAAACAAAATACCTTTTCCTGAAAGTTATCTCTCTCTCACACACACACACACAAGCATATAACTAGTAAAGACAATGAATTTTATTTCTATTGAAAGATAAGACATACATACTATAATTTTAGCCTTGGTGAGTTTCTCATTGACCATCATTATGACGAAGGGACCATCTTAAATGACCCTCCTAATTTTTCCATTGTCCATTGTGACTGCAGAAACACTTGACATCACATACAGTTGTTCAATTTAATACATTGGTGGTATTATAAATACACGTTACCATTGAAACATACCATGATTTTGTCAGTTTCATTGCAATTACATAGTTAGTGAAGTGCAGCAGAATTTATTTGAACTATACTAGGGTGAAAAAATGAGATAAGATAGGTTGACATCTATTGGAGAGTTAATGCTCATGATGGGGTGTATGGGGAGCAGTTAGGGAATGTCATGTGAGGTTTTGAGAAGTAGAGTAAAAGGACAATGAAAGAAAATGAAATTTGGCAAGAGCATGCAGGATTGATTGAAGCTTTAAAACTCCGAAAGCAGAGAATAAAATGAAGCGTAAACAGAATAGATACACTCACACGTAGCATCTAGGGAACTGATATCTATAAACATTCAGTAAGAAAGAATATAAAAAAATGTCATTTGAGCTTTACCTTTTCTGTTGTTTAAATACAGATTTTTTTTTTTTTTTTTTAAGAGAGAACTCTAAATGACAGTTTTTCGTCGGTGGTTTTTTGTGGGTTTTTTTTGGAATGTTTTTACTGTTTTAAAAAATGATCAGAACTTGGCACAGTGGTTGGTTTCAAAGCTAACTTATTTCTATTTCTTTTTTGTTGTTGTTGAATCTGTTAGTCCTTGAACTTTAAAACATCCTGAATATTCACATTAATTAATTCAGGAAGATTTTCTGTCAAAATGTTAAATATTTTCTGTACTTACTTTGGTTTCTAAAATTACTTCTCATGGTCATTTACAGTGAAGATTTTTTTTTTTTTTTCTCCAGTGATACAACCTTAGTCAAACATGGGTGATGTTCTTTAGCAATGAGAATTCTAGTTGTATACCACCTCCAGCTCTTCAGGTGCTTTAAAAGTTATAGTGTTTACCATGTTCAATTTGATACACGGAAACTAACATGACAAAACCAAAGGTCTAATTAATGACAGAAAATATAACATCCATAGGTTCACTTTATAAGCACGGTATGCACATATAGAAAATATTATAGTCAAGGTACTGAGCTGTCACATTGCTGAGCTCCATTCTTTCATTAGCAACCTGGATGCCCATGAAAAGCAGAGTCAGGATTCAATTGCAGGCAGTCTGGCTCCAAGTTTGTCCTTTGAATCACTAAGCTATGGCTTTGAGATGATGGATTTATCACGTGGCCAATTAAAAGAAAGGACTAATCATATTTTAATATGCAGCAGCTGACAGGGTACATTATACAGAAATGAAATTAGTCCCCACATGTCAAAAACCTGAAACCATCAAGTCAGTGTAGAGTAGTCTCCATGCCTCCTTCGTTCTTAAACATCATAGAAACAAGCAAAAACAATTCGAAAGTGGTTTCCATTCACATTGGGAAGATTCGACTGCCTTGGGTAAAAGATGCCCAAGTATTCTTCTAATATCCAAACCATAAAGAGTGGTTTTTTTCTCTGTGTTTTTCCCCCCACCCATTATTAGGTGTATACCATTGAGGAATCTGGACTAAACATCCCAGTGTGGTCAGTGATTGGCAATAAAAGACCCGGTTGGATATATGGATATGTACATCTCTCCAGTAACAGTCCATTTAAGGTGGCATTTGAAGCTGATTTGAGTGGAAACGAACACATCTTCATTGCCCTGGATGACATCTCCTTTACCCCAGAATGTGTATATGGAGGTAAGTGATTCCTGCAGAAAATAGGATATACATGTATTGTTTTTAATATCTAAATACAGAAGAATTGGGAATTTCTGAGGAATTTCCAGGTTCAGTCCTAGTCATATATTGAAGAAAGAGCAGTCTGTATTGTAGGAGGTAAAGATTTTCTGCCCATGACACCTCACTATGATATTTTCATGTCATCTGGGCAACAAAATAACTTTGACTAAAGTTCATTTGAAAACATGGCAGAAATTTGGTTTCATTAATAAAGCTTTATTGTCACTTTCTTTCCTAAGCTTTGCAGTAACTGCACAAGGTAAAAGTCCCTCTGGGTCACATATCATATTCCAGACTGTCTTTTCCATCCATATTAACTTTGTTGTTGTTGTTTTCTTTTCTAATCTAAATTTTTTATTTATTTTAATATATATATATATATATATATTGTCGATAGTGTTACAGATGTCCCCTATTTCCCCCCTTTACCCCAATCTACCCAGCCCCTACCTACCCCACCGCCGGCCTTCACCACACTACTGCCTGTGTCTATCAGCTCTTAGTAGTTGAATGAATAAAAAAGCTGTGGTACATTCACACCATGGAATACTATGCAGCTGTACAAAAGGAGGATCCCTTACCCTTTGAGGCAGTGTGGAGGGACCTGGAGAGTATTATGCTCAGTGAAATAAGCCAGTCACAGAAAGACAAATATCACATGATCTCATTTATTTGTGGAATCTAATGAACAAAATGAATTGATCTACAAAATAAGCCCTGAGACCTGGAGGCACAGGGCAGACTGACATATCTCAGGGATGTGGGGGTGAGCGAGGGGACAAGAAGACATATTAACTTTTGCCCTTCTCTAGGCTTCTCCCCTTCTCCTGTTTCTACTCTACAATCTAAAATTTTTATTCCATTTCATAAAGAAAACAAAAGTCCTGTCACTAACTCCTTTTTTTTATCCTTTTAATTGAAATCTGAATTTCTGCTGCTTAAGATGTCTCTACTTAAGTGGTTATTTATTCTTTTAAAAATTTAGTCTTCAACATCTCAATGCTCAGCAATAGGGTTATTGTCTCTCTCTTGCTCCATGCTTCTTCCCAGATTTTGTTGTTCTAGCCACACATCTGGGTTCTTATCCTTTTCGTAATTTTTCTTTGGATCCTAAATCCCGGGCAGTCCCAACTTCCAGGCAATTCAGCCTGTGTAAAATACAGACCTTCAGTTCTAGTCACCTTCATAAATATTTTTCCTCATTAACAACCTCTCATAGTTGCATTCGGGACCTGATAATACCCTCTGAACATTTAGGATTAAAACTTTCATCTAATCCTTATGTTCTCTACTTCTTGATTACTCCTCCTAATCCTGTTTTTCAATATAATTAACAAGAAAAATAGAATTCTAGATTTTCAATGCTTCATGCTTTTTTTCATAAAACACCCTCTTTATACTTTTTCCTAAAAATCCCAGATATAATGATCTAACACCTCAATTCCATTCTAAATCAGCACTTTGAATTCTATTATGTTCTATTTTTTTTTTCATTTTAACAAAAATTTGGATCCTAATTAGGTGCCAGGAACTCTGCTAACTACATTGCAAGTATTTATCAGCCATCCCTGTAGAATAGACAAGTATCCAGCTCATGTTTGGTCATAATGACTTTATCAATGTTTAAAATTGAGTTACTATACAAAATACCATTTGTATTTTCCAAACTGTTGATGGTAATGCTCATTGGCATGACTAGGAATTTTGGTTTATCACTTTAGTTGGGCCTTCAAGCATCCCAGACACATGTGTTTCCCATTCCCTGGCACTGTTTTCTACAACAATTCTCTAAACCTCCAACTTCTCCCTTGAAATTTCTTCATTCCATCTATGTTTTGAATGCAATATAGAGCCCTTTTGTAACAATCACCCTTAATTTTCTCTTTTCACCTCCAAATATACCTGTATCTACAACCAAACTTTTTTTGTTACTATTTGTCTCAGGAAAAAACCCTCCATTTTTCCAAGAGTAAATGTCTCTTCTTGGTCATTTCTGTTCTCAGCTTCTCCCATCCAAGTCTTCTCTGTCCTATATCCTATATCTTTAGTTTCTTTTCTTTCACTGATCATTCTTAGCTCTTGACACACACACACACACACACACACACACACACATGGATGCGCACACACACGTATATGTGTGTGTGTATATACATATATATACATATATATGTATGTGTATATATACATATATATACACACACATATATATATAATTTCCTACTAATTTTGAGCTCCTCAAGAACAACCAGGAGCAAGAGGAGCCTGTCTATTTCATCTCCAGAGCTTAACACAAGATCTAAGACATTTAGAATACAATTTAGTGAGACTTGAGATGAATCACATGATTGCTGCTAGGTCCACAGGTAGGTACATGATTGGCAAGCCTGTTACCAGGGATATGGGCAGGCATAGTTCCTGCTGGATCTGCAGGTGGATGAGACTGCCTCCAGGACCATAGTCTAGCAGGGCCAGAGCCATATCATGGGATCACTTCTGGGTCTGTAATCAAGTCTGCAGATGGCAGACCTGTTACCAGGGGTGTACACATGTGTGGCCCCCACTGTATCCTGGGTGGGTCCCAGGGCATGCAGGACTGCCTCCATGCCTGTTATAGAGCAGGACTGTAGCTGGATCACTGGGCTGCTTCCAGATCCACTGCCTTGTCCAAGATCAACAGTTCTGTTACTGGGCGTGCTGGTGGGTATGGCTCTCGCAGGTCCTTGGGTGGGCAAGTCTGCCTTCTGACCATGGTAGAGCAGGACTAAAGACAGGTGACAAGGCTGCCTCCAGAACCAGTTAGGTTGAGGTTAGCTGGCCTGTTACTAGGGGCGCAGACAGGCATGTCTCTTGCTGGTTCTGTGTGAGCAGGATTTTCCCTGCACCATGGCAGAGCAGGGCTGGAACTGAATCACAGGACAGCTCCAGAGTCCACAGCCAGGACTGATGTCGACAGTCCTGCTTCCCAGGGGCACAAACCTGTGTTGCTGGTCCCTGCTTGGCAGGAATGACTCTAGACTACTGTAGAAGGGATGGTCTAGAACTGGTGCCAGGTCTCAGAACTGCTTCCAGATCCACAGTTGAATCCAAGGCCACTGGGACTATTCCTGAGAACACACATAGGGATGGCTCCTTCCACATCTCTTGGAAGATGGAGCTGGTATAAAACTTCAGCTAAGCAGCGCTGTACTGTATCCACTGGGGGACAGAGCTACTTTTGGTTTGTAGCCAGGACCACATTCAGCAAGCCTGCCACCAGGGCATGGGCCTGCATTCCAAAGTGGCTCTCCTGGCCTTGGGCTTTACAGGGGTTTCATAACCTCCTACTTGGTTTTAAAGTTCCATTAAAGACACTTTGCCCATGGATGATTGCCAGAGTATTTTTTTGTGGGAAAGGGGTGGGGGATGTGAGTTAGAGACCCCCTATTCAACCATCATTCTGATGTCACGCTTCTCATAAAGAATTTTTAAAGGCTTTCAAGAAGGAAAAATATATATACATGCCTCAGTAACCTTGGATAAAAATAAATCTTTAGCCCTGGCCCATGTGGTTCAGTTCGTTGGAGAGTTATCCCTTACACCAAAAGGTCAAGGGTTCAATTCCTGGTTAGGGCGCATATCCAGGTTGCGGGTACCATCCGCAGTCGGGCCACATGTGGGAGGCAACTGATGGATGTTTCACTCTCACATCGATGTCTCTCTCTCCCTGTTCCTTTCTCTCTAAAATTAATAAAAGCATGTCCTCGGGTGAGGTTCAAAAAGAAACGATCTTCAACCGTTAGTACTTAGACAGGAAAACTTCATTTTCTAGTAATGCTGCATAAAAGAAGCATTACTTTCATATAAAATTCAAATCAATCAAATTTTGATAAATTTTTCTCCAAAATTTCTAATTCTGTTGAAATGGGACACAGTTTTCCAGGGAAACATATTTTGCAAAAAAATACAAAAATTCTGATAGTACAGGATCTGCTACAATGAATGTTCACTGAACAAAGCAAGAGAAAGAAGTTTAAATAGATTTTTCCAGTATTCATTTATGTGTGTTCTTCATTCAGCCCTCAGAGGCGAATCCGCCTATACCATCAAAACTGCTTGCCGTTTCCATCTTTCCTAGTGTAGATTCAAATGAACTAAGGTAGCTAAATTAACTTAGATAATATTTATCAGATCTTATAATAAGACACCTGATTTTTACATTTAGCATACCAGCTTTTTTCTCATGTCCAGATTAACATCGTAAGATTAAAAACAGCTCTCAACTTCATTTCAACCTCGTATTGGGATTTTCATATTTTAACTCTCCTCCTCTTTCCACTCCCAAAATATACATTTTTCTATAACACAAAGGAACATAGAACTATAGCATTTGTCACCACAAGTTACCTGTAGTTTTCTTTCCATTTAGAAGATTGCCCTATAACAGTAGCCCCTTTACCACCCTAAAGAATCTTTGATTTCTGCATTATTACTTCTCCATTGTCCCTTTAATTACTTTCAGTTTCCCAGGATGTTTTCTAAATGGAGGCATTCTCGACGCAATAAAACATCTCCATCAATTCTGAATCAGCAGGGAAATGTAGTTCTTTTCACAGGATCTATTTTCTTTAGCCATGTGAGTTTCCAAGGGTAGAAGATGTTTGCTGAGTTTTTCTTATAGTTTGAAGCAAAGAGGGTCACATTTATCACCACTATAAAGAAACATTTTACAGAGCTGGTAGGATACTACTGCTTTTAAAACTATAGAAAGTGTTTCAAAGTATTGGAAACAACAATGGGAGAGAAATTATAGGATGCTTGAATTATAGGATGATACGTTTCTACATAATGTCGTCAGGAGTTTAATAAATGGGCAAATACCAGTAGACTCAGCTGGAGGGAAGTGACAGGAAGGAAGCAGATTATCTCAGCTCCGAGTTTGCTGGTGTCCTGGGTTGAATAGTGTGCTCCCAAAATAC